TTGCCTTTTCTATTTATATTGAGGAAAAGCGAACACTTGTTACTAATTCAGCATTATTATATTCTCTAAAAAACAGCTGTTAAGTGACTGTTCAACCTCTAGCAACAAGTTTACCACCTTCTACTCCATCATTAAACAGCTCTGTCAATTAGTCTTCAAATTGAGCCACATCTTTCTACCTATGTCTTCCATCCACTGGCCTTAGTTCTATTCCCTAGAACCACAAGGTATAAATCCTCTTCCTTTACATATCCTGGATGGCTAAGAGATTGTGGGCTTCCCATGCCCCAAGTTCTCATGTCTCCAAAGCAAATCTTTCTCCAAACTTTTTTTTTTTTTTTTTTGAGATGGAGTCTCGCACGGAAACCCCAGCTGGAGTGCAATGATGCAATCTCGGCTCACTGCAACCTCTGCCTCCAGGGTTCAAACAGTTCTCCTGCCTCAGCCTCCTAAGTAGCTGGAATTACAGGCGCCTGCTACCATGCCTAGCTAATTTTTATATTTTTAGTAGAGACAGGGTTTCACCATGCTGGCCTGGTTGGTCTTTAACTCCTGACCTCATAATCCACCCGCCTGGGCCTCCCCAAGTGCTAGGATTACAGGTGTGCGCCACTGTGCCCAGCCTTGTACGTGGCTTCTAATTTCAGAATCTGTGTCCCAGAATTAACCAAGACTTGATAATTGCATCCACCCTAGCACAGAATAAAATAGGATTTATGGGCATGCTGGCTCATACCTATAATCCCAGCACTTTTGGAGGCACAGGAGGACTGCTTGAGCCCAGGAGTTCAAGAGCAGCCTGGGCAAGATGGTGAGGATCTGCCTGTATGAAAAAAGTTTTAAAATTAGACAGGCATGGTAGCACATGCCCATAGTCCCAGCTTCTGGCAGGGCTGAAATGAGAGGATCACTTGAGCCTAGGAGGTCAAGGCTGCAGTGAGCTACGATCGTTCTACTGCACTCCAGCCTGGGCTACAGAGCAAGACTCTGTCTCAAAAAATATATATAATTCTCATTCCCAATTCTAGATATTTTTTTCTTTCGATAATGCATCCAAGATTTTATTTTTGTTGTTGACATATCTCACTACAGACTCACATTTGGCTCTTGGCAGATGCCCCTAAGTGCTACTCCTAAGCCACAAACCCCTCAACATCATCCTGTGCTGACTTATGCAGCTAGTTGGGTTTTTTTTTTTGTTTTTTTAAGATGGAGTTTCGCTCTTGTTGCCCAGGCTGGACTGCAGTGGTGCTCACCATGACCTCTGCCTCCCGGGTTCAAGCGATTCTCTTGCCTCAGCCTCCCTAGTAGCAGGGATTACGGGCATGCACCATCACGCCCGGCTAGTTTTGTATTTTTAGTAGAGACGGGGTTTCTCCACGTTGGTCAGGCTGGTCTCTAACTCCAGACCTCAGATGATCCGCCTGCCTAAGCCTCCCAAAGTGCCTGGATTACAGCTGTGAGCCACCAAGCCTGGCCACAACTAGTTTTACAGTCAAAATAGGATCTTACATTCATCCAGTCAAACGTCATCTTACAGCCAGTCCATCATCTTAGTTTGACAAAAATATGACTGAGTTGAAATTCAGACATGTACCTGCCCCATCTTAGATCTGTTGTGTGTGTGGGTTTTTTTGTGCTTTTCCCTCTCCTACATTTAGGATAAAAGACTGATCAGGTAATCTACCTGTAGGGCCACATGTTACACCGTACACATCCCCTCGAACCCCTCCATCTCAAGTGAAAAAGAGTATTTCAAATACAAAGCCAAAGCCACAGTCAGCAATAGGAAAAGGAGAGGAAACTATTACCTAGCTCCCAAGGACTTCAATGTCTTTCTTAAAACCCCAGAGTTCCAAAAAAAACTTCCCAGTTCTTTTTCAATAGTTATCTTTCACCCCTGTCTTATCAGCAGCAATTGCATGAAAGAGATGGATGAATGACAGAGAAGGTGAGTACAAAGGACAGGTGAGTTTCAAACAGCCAGAGGTCTGGGTAGGGCGCAATCCCAGGTAAGGATTCAATAAGTAAATACAGACGATGATGTTTAAAAAAGGGGGGGCAAATATATGAAAAGATACTGTTTGCTTATTGAGGCAAAATTGGAGTCTGTGAAGAAGAATAAAAGAAGGCTGAAGAGGCAAACTAACATTTCATTCAAAGGGTCAAAAATGAAATGCTAAAATGTCTGAACTTTGTTACAGTTGTTTGTTATCAAAAATTACTGCATAAGGCCAGGCACAGTGGCTTATACCTGTAATCCCAGTACTCTGGAAAGCCAAGGTGGGTGGATCTTTTTTTTTTTCTAAAGCTCTTAAAAAAAAAAAAAAAATATTTTTTTTTGTAACTTATGTGGCAACAAAAGTTGACCTGAGTTGACATGAAGCTATGTATAATCTTTATGCATCCATAAAGTGTAAAAATACTCCTACATTTTAGTTTGGGAATCTAATAAATGGAAAAAAAAAAAAAAGAAAATATTCCTACATTTTGCTATAGTAACAATAATAGGTTTGATTATCACGTGTTGTCCCAGAGCTCAAAGTAAGTATTATATAACCACAACATATATGCATTATTACTTTTAGGAAAATCTGAAAGAGTCTGAATTCTGAAACTTACCTGGCCCCAAAACTTCCAGATAAGGGACTGTGAGTCTATTGCACTTTTACTATCTTTTTTTTTTTTTTTTAGAAAAAAGAAAAAAAAGAAAGAAAAATAATAATTAAAAAAAGAATGAAGGAGAGGAAGAGGAAGAGGGAGAGAGAACAGGGGTGTTGCTTTATTGCCCGAGTTAGAATGCAATCTAAAAATGGGTATGCCTATAATTGTGCTTAATAATAGAGACATGAAAAAAAAAAATGAGGGAAGAAAATAACAAACAAGCAGCCAACCAATATTTCATTTAAACCTGTAAATAGGTGTGATGTGGTACTGGTAAGAGTGTATATTTTGTGTATTTAAAGTGGAGAGTTCTATAAATGTTAAGTTTACTTGTTCCGGATCTGAGTTCAAATCCTGATATTGTTGTTAATTTTCTGTCTCATTGATCTGTCTAATATTGATGTTGAAGTCTCCCACTATTATTGTGTGGGGGTCTAAGTCTCTTTATAAGTCTTATATATCTGGGTGTTCCTGTATTGGGTATATATATTTAGGATCTTTAGCTCTTCTTGTTGCATTGATCCTTTTATCATTATGTAATATCCTTCTTTGTCTCTTTTGATCTTTGTTGCTTTAAAGCAACTGCTGCTTTTTATTTATTTATTTATTTATTTATTTATTTATTTTTGCTCCCCATTTGGTTGGTAAATCTTTCTCCATCCCTTTGTTTTGAGTCTTTGTGTATCCTTGCATGTGAGATGGGTCTGGATGCAACATACCGATGGGTTTTGGCTTTTTTTGCCTGTCTGTGTCTTTGGATTGGGGGATTTAGTCAATTTAAATTTAGAACTAATAATAATATATGTGAGTTTAATACTGCCATTTAATGTTAACTGGCTGTTTTGCCCATTAGTTGATATAAATTCTTGATTATGTTGATACTCTCTGCTTTTTGGTATTTTTTAGAAAGGCTGATACTGGTTGCTCCTTTCTATGTGTAGTGGTTCTTTCAGAAGCTCTTGTAATGCAGGCCTGGTGGTGATGAAATCTCTAAGTGCTTGCTTGCTCACAAAAGATTTTATTTTTCCTTCGCTTATGAAGCTTAGTTTGGCTGGATGTAAAATTCTGGGTTGAAAGTTCTTTTCTTTAAGGATGTTGAATATTGGCCCCCACTCTCTTCTGGCTTGTAGGGTTTCTGCTGAGAGATCTGCTGTGAGTCTGATAGGCTTCCCTTTATGGGTAACCTGACCTTTCTCTCTGGCTGCCCTTAGTATTTTCTCCTTCATTTCAACCCTGGTGAATCTGGCAATTACGTGCCTTGAGGTTGGTCTTCTTGAGGAATATCTTTGTGGTGTTCTCTGTATTAGCTGGAGTTGAATATTGTCCTGCCTTGCTAGGTTGGGAAAGTTTTCCTGAATAATATCCTGAAGTGTATTTTCCAGCTTGGATTGATTCTCTTCGTCACATTCAGGTACGCCTATCAAACGTAGATTAGGTCTTTTCACATAGTCCCATATTTCTTGGAGACTTTGCGCGTTCCTTTTTATCCTTTTTTCTCTAATCTTGTCTTCTCGTTTTATTTCATTAAGTTGGTCTTCGACCTCTGATATCTTTTCTTCTGCTTGATCAATTCGGCTGTTAAAACTTGTGCATAGTTCGCGAAGTTCTCATGTTGTGTTTTTCTGCTCCATTAATTCACTTATATTCCTCTCTAAATTGTGTATTCTTGTTAACATTTCATCAAATGTTTTTTTTTTTTTCTTTTTTTTTTTTGTGTGTGCAGTATTTATTTCAAATGTTTGTTAAAACAGCATTGTTATTTCTCAGGACAAGAACAAAGATCACCCCCTGGAGAAGCTTAGGAACTTTGTACAGAACTTTACAGAACAGAGGCAATACTTTAGCTTAAATTTGTCTGCTGATCAGAGAATGGAATTCTGCGTGGACTCAAGGAACAAAAGGAAACTAGGCAGGGATAAGGAAAAGGAAAGTGCCCATCTGAATCAAACTTCAGCTGCCATCAGGGCACATCTTGTGATGGTCAGATTGTAGGTTGTTTTTTGGAAGGTTCAGGTTCAGCACAGGATTCCATTTGTCTACTTGGCTACACCCCTGGCTGAGGTGCCATGAGGTCAATGTCACTCAAGTTCCTGGCCAGCCAAACTCCCACAGCAAAGAGTCCCAAATTGAGGATCAAGTTCCTCCGGAAGTCATTCCTATCAGTGGCAAAGCGGTAGACGCCCAGAAGCCAATCTCCCACGTTGTCAGGTATTTCGGGAGTTTCATTAGCCGAGCCGGCAGCGCTCACCGGGACCCCGCTGGAAGCCATAATAGAAAGCTTCGCACGAACTTCGTTGGAGGAACCGTATAGGCGTCGCCGGCAGATGACGAACCTC